TTTAAATAGGCTATTCACCCCTCCTCTAGCCATATTTGGACCTTTCACAGTCGGTCCGAAAAAAGCCAGATCCATGATAAGAGAGCAACAAGTCTTATAAGTGCCCATACCCAAGTTTGTGCTCGGAATAATAAGTCTTTGACTTGCTTTAGAGTCTTATGCAACGGCCGGTCCTTAACCGACACCTTAGAGTCTTATGTAATGGCGGCCCTTAACCGACACAGACAGGGAAAGCAGTGTAACCAAGCTATGTCCCGCGTCCACGATGACACAACCTCTTGCACCCACCAATACCCAAACCATATCCCTGCCCGGTCACCATTTTTCCTTTTCACCATTTTTATATATTCCAAGTGATAATAATCCAATAATATATTTCCTATCTCTCGCGAGTGACAGTCATCACTCGACTTCTACCGGAGTCCTATAGCATAGCAGTCTACACGATCCTATTATACTAGTAAGACTCGTAGAATAAAGATATATATGCAAGTGGGTTTCATTCAACTCCTTAAAACTTAATGTACAAATATAATTTAAAGTGCAGAAAAGTAGGAGTTATGCACCGGAGCTTGCCTGGGTAAGATTTAATCAGAAGTTAGCATTCCATCATGGCGACCGATCTCCAAAAGCACCATTTCTCCAGCAACTCTCGATGACTACGCGATCCATTGACGTCCCTATTATAATATGCAATGCGATGCAAATGCAAAGACGTAATTAATCAACTGCAACCGTGATTCGTAAAATACGATTTACGCCTCTCAAGCTAACGAGCTAGTTCTAACGACGACCGTACTTAGGCTACGTATCCATATTGTTGAATAAGACGTTATTTCTCAACAAATGTTTTTGTTATACAAATCCAAGCTGTTTCTTTATTTTATTCTATCTATTTAATCTTTATTCGCAATAGGACATCATTATCTATTTAGCAAACTAATTATTCCGAAGCTACAAAAATTACAGTGAGTGCCTAATATTGCTAGGAGCCTACTGTAATAATTTCAGATCCAACACTATTACCAATTTATCACAACAATTCCTATAAGTTTATATTTTTACAATATTAAGTAGCTTAAATTAATTATATAGCTTCCAAGAATATTATCAAACTATGTGAACAAAATATACTAATAGGTAGATTATGATTTTAGAAGACTAACAAAATTGGTTTTATAATTTTTAGATTTCTATACCATTTTATATTGATTTTACAAGTTAAAATAGAAACCTATTTTAGAAAAGCATTTTGGAAATGGAAAGGGTGGCGACGACCACTAAGCGCCCCAGTGAGCCCTTCGGCCAGTTGTTGGCGAGCGAGTGCCCAAAGCGGGGGAGAGGCGCGCGGCGCTGTGTGCCCATCGCTGGTGCTTGAATGGGAGGCGGCTCAGCGTGACGGCGAAGCCGGCCACGCGTGGACGACGGCGTGGCCCACGGCGCCGAGCGAGACGGTGGCGATACTTTTTGCGATGAGGCCCCCGAGCTCTCGTCAAATCATCTCGTGGCACAAACGCACTATTTATGTGAGTCTCGTATTTTGCAATAAGAACCCGTATTCGTTTCTATTCCTTTTCTCACCTTCCTTTCCCAGGAGCAGAGCACGGAGCAGAGGAGGTCCGGCCGGCGACGGCGGCAACGACGCTGTGGGACCGGGGAAGGCACGGCGGCGGCGGACCACCCGCCGGTGAGCTGCACGAGAAACCGCGCGACCTCGGCTGAGGCGGCCAGGAACCGTCGATGGCCACAACGGCCAAGCTGCGTGCGCCAGCGGCGGCAATGGCGGCTGTGGGGTGCAGCGGAGCAAAAAAAGGCGTGGAAGGGCGACACTGGCAGTATGTCTCTACGGCACCGGCGGACATGGCGCTGCTCCTGCCGGGACGGGGCCTGGCCCGGCGGCCACGCGCGCCCACAGCAGGAGCGGCGGCCAAGGTGCCCTACGGTGGAGAGCCACCGAGGATGAGGAGGGCACGACCATAAATCGGCGGGATGAGCGGCCTGACGACGGTGAACAGGAGGCACGGCGCGGCGGGGCGCCGCAGGCACAGGCGCGCATGCGCGAGGGGAAAGCAACGACGACGGAAACGGAAGGGTGCAGGGATGGTGGCCCAGCGATGGCGGGCGCGGACACGATGCAGACGTGGCGCGGGGAGGAAGAGGAAGGGGGCGCCGTGCAGCAGTAGGGTCGCGCTACGAGCAAGGACACACGGGAGGCAGCGGCGCTGCGACTGCGGTCCAGCGTGGGGCCGAGGGCGCAGCAGCCTGGCGCGTGCGCTCGCGCGCGGTGGGAAAAAGGCGGCTATGGCGGACTAGAGCAGAGACGCCTCCTCTCGGCTACAGAAAAAGAAAGGGAGAGAAAGAGAGTGCACGAGTATGCAAGGCAGCAGCGGCAGCAGCGAGTGTGGCCAAGGTCGGAAGGACGAGAGTGGGGCCGACGAGGAAGCAAGCGCACGTGGGCGGCCGGCCAAGGCGTACGCAGGGAAGTGCCAGCGAGGGCAGCACGACAAGGTCATTAGCTTCGACGGGACAATGGAGGCAGAGCGGTAAGGCGTAGCATGGCCGTCAACTACGTGCCTACGCCGCACAGAACGTGAAAAGACATGGCAAGGGCAAGGGCAGAACCAGGTGCACCTATTTCAGATACCCGACGCCGTGGATCAGTTCAGATGCGGTTGGATGGGAGGCTTTGCAATGCAGAGAAATGCAGAGCCACGATGAGAACGAGACAGTGAATAATTGCCATGCAACGAGTACGTTGTACGCTAGGAAAAATAAACGAAGCTGCTGCGCTCTCTCTCGTCAGTTCGTGTTTATCAAAATAAATCCATGAGTATATATATATCGTTCTATTTATTAATGGATTTTATTTTATTTATAAAAGTTGCTTTTCATGCTTAATCTAACAGAACAAAACATTCGCTAGCATCGTCATTCGGTATTTCTAAATATCTTTACGCACTGAGCAATTTAACTTGGACGTTTATTTGAGTCCACAAAACTAAGTCACATGGATTCGCTTATCGCATCAAGTATATTTTAAATCAAAAATTCCCGAGAACTTGTTTTTGGACATTTTACTTAGGTCTAAATCGTGGTGCTAAACGAGGTCGTAACAACAGGAATGTTATCGCTGGCTCCGCCTCGTCCGACCCCAAGGCCACGGGCTCCGCCTCGCCTGACACCGTGGCTGGGGCTCCGCCTCGCCCGATCTCGAGGGGCCCTCACACACCCAAGACCCTAAGGCTCCGCCAGGCCCGTGGGCTCCGCCCGCTTGAGCCTCGAGGCTAGCTCCACCTCACTCGACCTCTGAGGGCTGACACCGCCTCTCCCGACCTCTGAGGGCTGGCTCTGCCTCACCTGGCCTCTGGCCACGAGCTCCGCCTCGCCCGACCCTGAGGCAGCAGGCTCCGCCTCGCCCGACCCTGATCCCGCGGGCTCCGCCTCACCCTACCCCTAGGCTGGACTCCACCTCGCTTGACCCTTGGGTTTGCACTCTGCCTTGCCCGGCCTCTGGCCGTGGGCCCCGCCTCGCCTGACCTCTGAGGGCTGGCTCTGCCTCGCCTGACCTCCAAGGTCGTTGGCTGCGCCTCGCTCGACACTTGGGTTTGCGCTCCGCCTCGCCCAGCCTCTGGCCGCGAGCTACGCCTCACCCGACCCTAAGGCCATGGGCTCCGCCTCATTCGACCCCGAGGCCGCGGACTCCGTCTCGCCCGACGGAGACCCATGTCGCCGCCAACCACTCTAGGTCCAAGTGTATGGGCCTGGGTCAAAGCTCTGACACTGGGAAGAGACTGGCACACCCCGATATAACCCGTGGCCACGACGGGCCATACCCGAGGGTTCACATCAAGAACAGCGTCGAGCATACAAGAGTTGTTCTGCCTAACCCTCATACGAACACTGACAGGAGCGTTAGTTCACCACGACGTCCGTCAGGACGGAGTGGAGCGCCATGAACGGCAGACGACGCCTTCGCATGGCGCCAGTGACGGATAGGGCCACGACGTGGAGCCGTCCCTGTTGACATCTACAGGGTCAGCGGGACCCGCATGGAGGATAAGAAGGACCTAGAGGTCCTAAAGGACATTCTCTCTCTCGCTCTCCTCTTTTCCTCCGCTGTAACCCGTGCTTTCCTTTGGCCTATAAAAGGGAAAGTAGGGCGCCCCATGAGGGGCATCTGACCATCGAATAATCGAACTATCAATCGATTGAGGCGAGACCGATCAAACCGCCACGAACCCATCAAACTTGGAATCGACCAGAACACAACACAAGCACACGGCTGAGCAGCAACCGAGCTCTCGGCATCCGTTCATTCCTTCCATTAGAGACTTAGGACATGTCCCTCTCTCGCCGTTTGTAACCCCTACTACGAACTTTCAGTGCTAGTAACACGAGCATCAACGACAAACTGGACGTAGGGACATTCTGCCCGAACCAGTATAAACCTCGTATCCTCTAAGCACATCATCCAAGCCAGACGCAGCAATATTAGAAATTTACTTGTTGGTGGTGACTCGAAACACCGACATTATTATTAGTAAAATGAACACTCCTTGTGCAAAATAAAATAAGTAAGACTCTAAGTATTGTCTGATTATATTAATAAAAAATGTACCTATTACTTTTCGAAAAGTCTTAATGGACAATCAACAATAATTAAGATCACAATCACTCAACCAGCTGGTGGTGGAGGATCGATATATCACCAGTCAGATTTTTATAATCCAGCTTTTCCAAGCTAGCTTCTACAATTTGGAAGACTTTTCCAAACAAGGAGTAGAGGTTGCCGAACCTTCCTAAACCAAACCCAAACCCTAGCATGCCGAATCCGCCATTCGTCATGGCGCCGAAATGGCACTGGGCTGATCTGCCGCCAGATCTCCTCTGCCGCATCGGAGACCGGCTCAACCTCAAGTGGTATGCCAGCGCGCGGGGCGCCTACACGCCGTGGCGCTGCGCACTCATGCCACCATCGCCCGCGCTCCTCGTGGTCACCGATGGTGATCGCTGGCGCCCCTACGCCGCCTCCTCCCCCCACGCGGAGGTCCTTCGAGCTCACCACCATCGTGTCGGGAAGCCGCCGCGTCGGATCGAGCAATGGCTGGCTCGCGCTCTCCGTCGTCGGCTCCATCGACGAGACCGTGTTCGTGCTCCTCAACCCCATCGCCGCCGTGGAGATCATCCTCCCACCACTGATCTACAAACACGAGGATGAGAGCCGCCGCGACTGGGTTTCCAAGTTAGTCTTCACCCCATGCCCCGCCAAGGACAACTTCGCCGCAGCCGCAATCTGCGACATCGACATGATTGCGTACGTCACCGCCGGTGCCAAGAGGTGGGCCGTCATGGACCCCGTCCGCCTCACCAGCGAGGTCGGGGACCAGCTCACCGACGTCGTCTACACTGACAAAGGTAAGGTCTACTGCCTCGCCAAGTGCGGGGACGAGCATGTGCTCCGTCTCCCTGAGCGTTGGCAGCCTGAGCGTCGGCGCCGGAAGCCTGCCAACGCTGATGAGGCAGGACCCTCGGAGCCAGAGTTCTCTGTTCTCCACCCGCCATCACCGTCTTCGCCGCCACCACTGTCGCCTTCGCCGCCACGACCGTCGCCGCCGCAGGCTGCTGAAGCTGAACACACAATTATTGCCCACCCACTGTCACCCTTGAGGATAGTGGCACTCCCGTATGAGGGAGTTCCACCTGAATCGCAAGGAACACATCTGAATACGCCGGCCACTATCAAGCCCCTGCTGCCGTTGTTCGACCCTGCCACCGTCTTTGCTCCACTTAGACTGTCTCCAGCACCCACGACCTAAAATATAAGACCCATTCATACTTTAGGTAGCGCTACAGGCAAATGATTCAATACCTATTTTTTCTTCTCCAACGACAAGAACTAAAAGACAATCCTTTTTACAAATGAGTCTCCAGAAGAGAGGATAATTTATTGGTTATGTCTCTCTTGACACCCAAAATAGACCTTTCATATAGGTAGGTTTGAGTTTCATAATGAGTCTCCTGGAGACAGCCTTATGACACCGTGTCGGCGTTCACTAGCGCCAAGAACTTATGTTCTGCGAGGGCAATCTGTGCAAGTCTGGAGGAACACAAGCTGCGCCGTGAATGTGCAGCTGCCTGCAGGGGGTCAGCGCCGCGTCGCAGAAAATGAGATACTGGTGCTGAGGTACTATCCTCGGCGTCGGCGTCGGCCTTGCTGGGATGCGGTGAAGGACCTAGGAGGTTACTCACTCTTTGTGGGAAGGAACAATGCAGTGTCGATGTATGCAGAGGGTGTGCCGGGACTGAGGGGCAACTGTGTGTACTGGATCGGCGGCATGGTCTTTGACCTGGAATCTGGGAGGTCCACGCCGTGCGGGGTTCCTCAGCCTGGCTTTTTACCTGGTGGTCATCCGTATAGCACAATCTGCTGGTACTCCATGAGCGATGTAATGAGCATCAACAACAGCTACAATACCAGCAGCACTGGATGACTGGGCGACATACTGAGGACCACCAAGCACCTTGGTGTGTAAGTTCAGTCTATCGCTTGTGGTCTTGAAAGTCGGAGCTTGATCTCAAGGCAAAGCAAAATCTTGCAGGGAAGGCTGAGGAACTGCCTCATGTGTTAATAAGCCTGTTTCCTAAAATAATGTTAAGTTTGTTTACTTGCCTGTGGTCTCTATAATGTTTGTATGTTTATTCAATCTTTGCTGTGTTGAAATAATTCAATGGATTATGTAATATTTTGGGTGTTGGCAATGTTCTGAATTTTACTACAAAAAAAAAGAAACTTAAACTACTAATGTGCACACACGCTGTACGCACACGTGGGCATGCATATGGGAGGAATTAGAAAAAGATTTGAGAGAGGCCTTCACCAGTTGCCTATAAATTAGGGCCGAAGCCCAAAGGGGAGCCCAAAACTGAACAAGAGAGAAGTTTACTGTACTCTGCACTCTGCCATACAAGAGAAAGAAATAAAAAGCTCTACATTCCTCTCCATTTCTCTGCTCTGAACCGATCAATTTATCAAACGCTTTGCGCCATTATCTTTGCATCATTGGAAGCTTGAGCTCTCCAATGATAGATGATGTGGCTTACTACTCATTTCATTCAACATTCAAAAGGATTAAAAGAATTGCCGTAGTAAATTCCCTACAATGATGTTAAAAAAAAATTCCCTACATTGCAAGACAATAGTGACCATGTATATACTCACTCCGTTAAAAAACAATTCTAATAAAGTACCAAGTTCATGTATCTTAAGTTTGATCAACTATGTATAAAAATATTAATATTTATGATATGAAATAAGGATCATTAGATTTATCATGAGATATATTTTTATAGTAATATCTATTTGGTGTCACAAACATCAATATTTTTACATGTATAATTGATCAAACTTTATAGACACTTTAAGAAAGAATGCACCTAGCATTGCATAGTAATATATTACAATCACAAAGATGACTACAACATACACATGAACGTTGCCAACTACTGGATTCGTGCAACCACTACGCAGATTGGCTGCCTAGGCTACAGCTACAAAGATGACTACATCATACTGGTTATACTGTCAACTGCTCAATTCTCTGTTACAACCAGCCTAGAAAACTAGTACCGTAAGCTACACGGGGTTTCCAACTTCCACCTGAATCAAAGCAAGAAAAAAAAATTGTACACCAACAACAGCTCCGCTCTTTGATCCATGGATTCCTGGCATGCACCAAAAATAAAATGGAGCTGCACACCTATATCAACCCCCGATTCAACCATTAAATTTCCAGGCCAAGGATAATGCAATCTGCCAACATGGGGCAACACCGGTCTATCATGGCACGAAGTCCACACCAAACTCCTGCATAAGTCATGGCCATAATATATACTTCACAGTTTCTTGGCACTTCCATTAATATCTTCCTCAACAGTAGCGGCCTCGGAGAGCCTTGGAATCACACCAAAATCTCATCCACATACAGTTTCAAAGTTCAGTGCCCAGGCACATCATTTATACGAAACTCTCAAGGAACATGGCATTTGGAACTGGAGTATATTCCATAAGTAAGGAGCCCTATGTATGGTCCTTGGAAAGTCTGGGTTGAACCGCTTGTTAAAATTTGATGCCAATGACCTGCGGTAAATGGTAATTGTATAGTCATTTAAATCATATATGAAACAGAAGCTACAATATGTATACAAAATACAGTGACCAAAATCCATGTCTGAATGGTGACGGGAACATGCAATACTATTCTACATTCTGACCCAACCCAGCTAAGACACCATAACTTTTCTTTATACCCACTTAGGCCTAATCCATAATAGGGCAGTCAAGAGAAGACTACCACCAAGCACATGAAAAAAACTTCTTTGCTAGGAGGACAAATAAACATCTTGTGATTCCATCCAACATAGAAGTACTGTTCAGCTTTCATCAATAAAGGTAGTTTTTGTATTAACAAAAACGTTGCAGCTAGCAGCACCAAAAGACCAACAAATAATCACCTGGGAGAGCCAGACCGTTTATAACCAAGTTGACCTAGCATGGATCTTAACGTCCCCCAAGAGCCTCATCAGCAGCCTACAAAGTGATTAGTGAAAAACCATGTGAAAGTTCAAGTTGGAAAGATAACAACTAATGTAACCTGATCAAGAAATGGCCAATGCTGTTTAGTTTATGTTTGTTCACTAATCACAGCTCAAAACCTATAAATAGAAGATACTGACATACTGTTTCTAATAAAATAGTTAAGGTAGGGTGAGCACTACAACAAATGCAATGCTTCAAAAATTGGTTTTCTGAAAACCAAGAGGGTGATATTTGGTTGTTAATTGGATATATACCATTATAAATATCACGTTTCAGAGATATGCCATTATAATTTTACACATCTCTAAAATATATCATTACTTACCTCTTCGATACATGTATTATAATTTTTAGACCAAATTGCCCTTGTCTCTTTGCAAAGTTTAGAGGTTCCCACCACGTGCGATGACGATGGCTCTCCTTCTCTCCGATTCAAAGTCTCTCACCGCTTCACCGCAGTGGCGAAGCTAGAGCAGAATTGAGGGGGCTACTTACTTTACCACAAGTATGGATATACATATGATTTCATATGGTGTTCTTCTAAACAATCATGTATTTAGTTCGAATTTAACACAATGCATGAAAATGGCGTAGCAAGAGTTTAAAAAAAAAAACACTTAATAGTATTTTATTATGATAATGGAGTGAAATAAATAGTTCAACCTAGCAAAAGGAGAACAAATACTTTTAGACCCAGTTTGGATGTTGTAGTCTATTAAAAAATAAATAAGTATTGAAATGCAATGGTTTCCAAAACAATGATAATCCTTCCATACCTAAATAAACCAACTTTTAAAGTTGTCATAAGTCAGACTTTTATAAGTTCGATCAAATTTATAAAAAGGAGTATTAATATCTATGTCACCAAATAAGTAGAATATAATAAAAAAATTTGGTATCTATAGTTCTTTGTGCTTTGTATCTGGATGCAAAGTATTGATTGGAACTAAAATTAGTGAAATTGAATGATTTGAAATGATTGAAAGAAGGGGGAAAAAAAGGTGGATAACAAGAAAACCACGCTGAACTGAGCCATCGACTTCTTGTTCTGCCCGCTAGTGCTCAGCCTATCAGCTCGCTGTATTGATCTTGGGGGGTGCATGTACTTGGGCCAAGGGGGGTGCATTGCCTAAAATTTAGGATAGTTAGCTCTAGATTTTTCTTTTGTTGTGGGTGCATGTGCACCCACTATCATATAGGTAGCTTCGCCCCTGCTTCACCGCCGCCATCACGGGAAGGACCCGACGCGGCCACCACGGGTGACACTAGCTCGGCCCCGGTGACAGGCAAGGCGACCGCGCCGAGCAAGTCTGTGCGCCATCGCCCGCGAGTCCCCGCGCGCAGCTCCTCCTTGCATTGAGAGCGCCTCGCATCTAGGGTCGCCGCCCCTGGCGTCGACTGCTCCACGTACGGGTACGGCCTTGCAGCGGGAGTCAGGATCCATGCGGAGCCGGAATGGAGTCCACATCTACGGGTACAGTCTCGCATGTACGCCAACTAGCTCCAGCGGCCTCTGGATCTCGATCACTGCGGCAGATGCGGGCAGTGAGCGGTGACATGCATGGGGCTGGCTTTCCTATCGCACGCCGCCTTTTCACAAGCCTGTATGTGCAGTTCACTTTGACCAGACGTCGAGACGTTCAGACGGGTGTGAACTCCTCCATGGCTCGAGCTCTCGGCACACGTACACGGTACACAAGCAACATGAAGCGAGCGTCTCTCTCTAGTCATCGTAGAGCTCGGCAAAGTCGAAGGACGCGGCATCGGCTCCAGATTTGTAGCTGCCGGACTTGACTTCCTAGACGCACACGCGCACGCCCCGGCCGGTTCAGGCACATGACTGGCAACGCGCGACTGCTGCACGGAGACCAAGATGAGACCGGGCCGATGCACTGTGCGACACGAACGAGCAAGTCCAGTATGTGCGTGAACGCCGGTGGCACGGAGGTCCATGTACTTCTTATTAGAGTAGCTAGCGACGGCGCGCAGCACAAGACATGGCAACCGGCAACGGCTGTGTCACAGGCGAGGGCGCGAGGCAAGTCGGCAGCGTGGTTTAGCACGGCGGAGCAGATGGCGCAGACGTGCGGCTCCACGGCACACGTTGCGTGCCGCAGGGATGAGCTAGAGCGCACCGTCCAAAGCAGGCTAGCTGAGGGTGCCATGTATGTGTCATGCTCATGCTGGCGGACGAGTAAGTAGTGGGAGGTGCGGAGCTGGTGCGCAGGCGTGGCCGTAGTGGCGGGCCGATGAGCAGGGAGGCACAGCGCGCGCTGCGCTCGGATATCCAGACACCCGGCCATGCCCAACTACCAGCTCTGTACAAAACGTGAGAGAGAGAGGGGGAAGGGGAAGGTGGAAGAAGACAGGGTAGTTTGGTCCAAAAATTGTGATAAATGCATCAAGGGGTAAGTAGTGGTATATTTCTGAGATGTGTAAAATTGTAATAGCACTTTTCCAATATCGTAAATAGTAATGGTGTATCTCAGAAACGTGATATTTGTAATGTCATATATCAAATTAACCCATTTACATGTGAGGACACTTGAACATACTGTCCTGAACCATTCAACTTGTTCAGTCAATCCCCTGCACACATTTTTGGTTGATCTGAGCCCTCAACCAGTTTAATTTGTCTACAGTTCCATCCCTCAGTCTCATTGATGATAACATGGATTACCGAATTTTTGCCAAGTGGGAATGACAATGTCAGCTGGACAGCTGGTGTAGACATAGGTCCTATGTCCCACCTGTTAGGAACGCAAATATTTCAAGAAACATGAATTCAGAGCCCTGAAGCCTGGGTGACACCATATCTCTCTTCTCATCAGTGTGGTGGATGCCTGCTTTACTTGGGCCCAGATTTTTGCAGATTGACACCCAAATCTCATAGAC